CGGCCCCCCGCCACCCCCCAGGAACTTCGTGGAGGAGAAGATGGGCAGCAAGTTCGTGGAGGGCCGCAGCGTGGAGTTCGCCAAGTCCTACGAGGAGAGCAGCGCCTCCACGCCCATCTTCTTCATCCTCTCCCCGGGCGTGGACCCCCTGAAGGACGTGGAGGCGCTGGGTGAGCGAGGCCGGGGGCCGGGGGCGGGCGCAGGGGGACACGGAGCGCGGGGCCGGGCTGCCCGGACCGGCAACGTTTCCCTGCAAAGCTGACCCGAGTCCCGCGTGCTGCGTGAGTTTGGGGGGCCAGGCTTGGGCCCTGCCACTGAGCACCCCGTCTTCCTTTCCGCAGGGAAAAAACTGGGCTTCACCATCGACAACGGGAAGCTGCACAACGTGTCCCTGGGGCAGGGGCAGGAGGTGGTGGCCGAGAACGCCCTGGACGAGGCCGCCAGCAACGGGCACTGGGTCATCCTGCAGGTGCGGGCAGCGGCGGCCGGGAGGGGCCGGGCGGGGTCAGGGCGAGACGCAGGATGGGGGGCACCCACCGAGGCGGCAGAACCCCACCTCCCCGTGTCCGGGGGACAGCACCCGGGAGGGCCTCTCCACACCTCCTGAGACCCAGTGCACCCCAGCCCCTCCCGGACCCCCGGCTGCCCGCCGCCCCCAGGCCGCCCGAACACTCAGGCCCCCGGGGAACCCCGCCTGGCACATTCCTTTCTGACCCGGACGCTCGGCAGCGGAGGGCTGGGCCGGCCGAGCGGGGGCTCCGGGAGGTGGACGGCGGCCTCTGCCTGCGGGGCCGGCTCAGCCGTGGTCTTGGCCGCAGAACATCCACCTGGTGGCCCGGTGGCTGGGCACGCTGGACAAGAAGGTGGAGCTGTACAGCAGCGGCAGCCACGAGCACTACCGCGTGTTCATGAGCGCCGAGCCCGCCCCCAGCCCCGAGTCCCACATCATCCCCCAGGGCATCCTGGAGAACGCCATCAAGATCACCAACGAGCCGCCCACCGGCATGCACGCCAACCTGCACAAGGCCCTGGACCTCTTCACGCAGGTGGGCGGGTGAGCCGCAGGCCCCGCGCCGACCCCCCGGGGCCGAGGGCCTGTGGGGCACCGCCCCGGGCGCGGCTTCCAGGGTCTGGGCACTCGCATTTCTGAGCGGTCAGCTCAGGGAGGGACCGTCTGGCCACTGGGGGTGCTGCTCCCAGCCTCCACCCCTGCGCAGGGCGCTGGGCTACGCTGGACGCTGGCCCCCCCCCCCGCAGGACACGCTGGAGATGTGCACCAAGGAGATCGAGTTCAAGTGCATCCTCTTCGCCCTGTGCTACTTCCACGCGGTGGTGGCCGAGAGGCGCAAGTTCGGGGCGCAGGGCTGGAACAGGTCGTACCCCTTCAACAACGGGGACCTCACCATCTCCGTCAACGTGCTCTACAACTACCTGGAGGCCAACCCCAAGGTGAGCGAGGGGGCTCGGCACCCCCGAGCAG